AAGGGCTGGCGGAGGCCATGGCTCCTGTGGCGAGTCCTCCCCGCACACAGCCGGCAGGCAGGCGCCATGTTTGAATCGCCAGCACCTGACTTGCACCGTTGGCCCCGCCCCGTGATTCCCGGAGGCCCCGCCCTCCCCACCTGCAGCTCACCCAGGCCATTTCCAGGGGCTTTTCTGTGCAAGGGGCCTCTCGAGCCTTATTCTTAGGACTTTCCTAAAATCTCTCTAACAAGCAGCCCCATACGGCTTGATAAGTGGCCCCAGGTTTGTGTAGCTCATGCTGGGTGGCCCTGGGCAAGGCACTGGAAGAAACTGACTTTACACCTTCCAGGAGGCCCAGAAATAGTGCACCTGGTGGTCAGACTCGACCACCAGGATTACAACCCTACCACATCCATGAGTGACACACTCAAGGGGAGCACTTGGTGAACACCAAAGCTCCACTGAAGTAAATCCTGCTTCATAGGGGTGTCTCCAGCACAGCAGCTCTTGGGCTATAGTTGCAGCTGGTCCTCACAGCTGATTGGTCTGGGGTTCAATTCCTCCCAGTGACTCCAGCAGCAACCAAGGCTCAACTACAACAGGACAGTGCACACAGCACACACAGGGGAGCACCTAGAGGGTCCAGCTCAGGTGAGTGGGGAGGCTGAGCCACTGGACCCTACAGGACACCTACTACACAAAGCCACTTGACAAATTCCTGGAGACATAGCAGCTCTACCTAATACATAGAAACAAACACCAGGAAGCAGTCAAAATGTGGAGGCAAAGAAACATGTCACAAAGGAAAGAACAAAAGAAATCTCTAGAAGAGGAACTAAATGAAATAGATCCAAGCAAGCTAACAGATACAGAGTTCCGAATTTTGTATATAAGGATGCTCAACCATATTAGTAAGAGTTTTACAAAAATAAGAGAAAATCGATGACATAATAAAGTACCAATTTGAAATGAAGGGTACATGAACTGAAATGAAGAATAATTTACAGGGAATCAACAGTAGAGTAGAGGACGCTGAGAATCAAATCAGCAATTTGGAACATGAGGAAACAAAAAACACCCAACCAGAAGAGCAAAAAGAAAAAAGAATCCAGAAATATGAAGATAGTATAAGGAGCCTCTGGGACAACTTCAAGAGGCCCAACATTNAGCGCCAGGAGGAGAGAAAAGAGAGCAAGAAATTGAAAACCTATTTGAAAAAATAATTACAGAAAACTTCCCCTACCTGGGGAAAGAAATAGACTTACAAGTCCAGGAAGCACAGAGGGACCCAAACAAGAGGAACCCAAAGAGGCCCACAGCAACACACATCATAATTAAAATGCCAAAAGTTAAAGACAAAAAGAGAATCTTAAAAGCATCACGAGAAAAGCAGTTAGTTACCTATAAGGAAGCACCCATATGACTGTCAGCTGATTTCTCAACAGAAACTTTGCAGGCCAGAAGGGAGTGGCAAGAAATATTCAAAGTGATGAAAAACATGGAACTACAACCAAGATTGCTCTACCCAGCAAAGCTATCATTTAGAATTGAAGGTCAGATAAAGAGCTTCACAGATAAGAAAGAGCTAAAAGAGTTCATCACCACCAGACCAGCACTACAGGAAATGTTGAAAGGTCTTCCTTAAGAAGAAGCTAATGAACAAAAGAATCTGATGAACTAAATAGATCCAGAGACATTCATGTAGGGAACAGATGATCATATTTCAGAGGAAAGAGAGAAGGAAGGTGGAGGGTGGGAAGAGATTAACCAAAAAAGTTATATGCATATAAGCATAACCCATGGACACAGTCAATAACGGGGTGAAGGCCTGGGAGAGGGTGGGAGCGAGGTGGAGGGGGTCAGTTGGGGGGGGAAAAATGGGACACCTGTAATACTTTCAACAATAAAGATAAATTAAAAAAGAAAAAGAAAATTAATTCACCAATATTACAAGGGCCAAGGGAAGGGAGACCCAGCTTTTTTGTGAGACAGCATTTCCCAACCTCAGCACTATTCACACTCTGAGCCCAATAATTCTTTGTTGAGGGGACTGTTCTGTGCGTCATAGGATGTTTAGCAGTATCCTATCTACTAGATGCCAATAGCACAACCTCCAAAGGTGTGACAACCATAAATGTGTCTGGTCATTGCCAAATGTCCCCTGAGGGGTAAAATCATCCCAGTTGAGACCACTGTTCTATGGAGAGGTCTGCTCCACAATAGAAAAGCAGTAGAACTGGTGGAGGAAAACCTGAGTTATACTTTCAGGGGGTTGAGGGGGGATTGGTCTGTGGGCCTGTCTCAGGAACTTGGACTGTGGGTGAGACAGGGACAGAGGAAGACAGCTAGGGAGTTGGTGGAAAAATTGGATTCCTGATGTGCCACCCTGAGCTGCCCTAAGGATATCCAGATATAATACCCATCATGACACCCACATCTCAGTAAAAGCATTATGAAATGTCCATCTTGACTGGAAGAGTCAGAGAGTGAATGTAGGTATGGTATCATCATTCCAGATGTGTAGCTGTTACTGGAATTCTAGAGAATGCTTCTGGAGATATCCATATAAGGTATCTGGTCCCCTCAAGACACCAATATGGTGGATCTTAATGATATCCAATGTATGGATAAAAAGTAGGAAGTCCATTGAGTTCCCTACATTTCTCAGGCTCCAGATGTTTGGTGGTACATAATTGTTAGCATTTTCTATGTTTTGCTAGCTGTTTATGGCTGAACTGATATACTAGTACTAGCCTTATTTCAGTCTTGCAAAACAAATTGATCTGACTTTACAAATTCCAAGAGCCACTAAAAAAACCCATGAATTCTGGAACTGTATTGACTTATGCTTCCTTCTGAAAATGAGATCCCTTTGCTAAGCTGGTATTGGTTAAATAAATATCTTATGGGTATTTTCTTTTCAAAAGGTCTGAAGGACAGTGGCCTTTGGTGTCTGGGGTTTTAGGGTGTTTGGCTAATCAATACCCTAGTAACTAATTAACGACATCGGAGTGGTAATCAAGGGAGTTCTGTTAGTTTCAAACTTTAGACCTTATGGGTCCCGGCCTGTAGACATCTTTTACTCCAACTCCCTGGATAGATCTTTAATTCCTTCTAGGTGCTCCAGGCTGGTGGATTCCGGGTGAGATGTTCGCTGTTGCTCTCTTCATCCTGTCTTTAACGACTTGTCAGCCGTGGGTAACCACACAGGAGACGGTGAACCGGTGAGTCAGCCACATGCTCCTGCAGAATTTGCATGTAGGGATCACCCGGTGGGGGACTGAGGCACTTCCATGTTTGTAACAGGCTAGTTGAGTTGGAATGTGACCTCGTTTCATGCTCTTACTAGTCCAGTGGAGGACTAGAGGACAATGAAAAGAGTGTGCAAGTCACAGCTCTGGTACTCAGGAGCTGGGGAACCTAGAGGACTCCCTGCTTTCCTTCGAGCTTCAGTTGACCTCTCTGTAAAATGAGAATAATAATGCCTCTTCTGTAAGCGTTCATGAACATGAAATAAGATCCTGCATATACAATACACTCAGCTTAATGAATCACAGTTCTCTTGAGTAATGTTGGACAGTTAACCTCTGCTTATCTGTTTGTGAATCATAAGAACATCTGATTCATAGTATTTGAGGAAGAATGAAATTAGATAATGTACATAAAATCATTTGGGAAGGCAAGAGACTGTAGGGACGCTGGGTCACTTCAGAGAAACGAGCTTACCTTTGGCTGTGGGATAATGAATGGAAGTGATATTTTCATATGTACATTGCATTTTGCCCAGTCCATTTCCTTGAATTTTCTAACCTGGTCTCATGCTTTTTATATCTTAACATTAAATATTTTGTGGTGCTTAAACAGCTCTTTATTTCACCTTTGGGACAGTTTTAAAGCAGTCTCTATCTTCCAAACATTGAAGATTGTAATTAGAGTTATTTTACTCAAATTCTTGTTGGATGATTCAATTTTAAATCATTATTGCTTTTAAATGTTAAAGGAAGAGAGATTTCCTTTAAGTAACAGTTTAGAAGGGAGGAAGGCATTTTTATAAACCGGTTAACTTGCAACTTGTATTTAAAGCAAATACGATTTTGAACAAAATCAGAAAATTCATCTCTAATAATTAGAAGATAAAGGTGAGGGAACCATGGTAAAGGTAACCTCTGCTCAGATACTCTTAATTATAAAGCTTATCATTGTAATACTTTTTGCAAATGAACAAAGAGTCCTGATGTTTGATGAACTTATCAAATAAGACAGACCAGTGAGGAGGCAAATTTGAAGTCAAAGCGAAAGAGAGCCAATTAAACACTTTGCAAAGCACTGGAGGAGAAAATCACAAGGCCTCTGTGCCTAACGCCAGTGCGTCTGCCCCTGGCTCTGAAACGGGAAACTACGGGAAGTAACCCTGGGTTCAAATTCTGCCACCGGCATTTTGTATGTGTGACCTCAGGCAAGTTATTTAACTCTTCTGAGCTATAAGGTGGGAAGAAAGTAAGAGGAAGGATTAAATGCATGAAAAGTATGTAGAACAGAGCCTCGTCCTCGGTGAGCTGTTGCCAGTGGTGTCGTGTGATTGTCCTTGTCATTTTGGGGGACTCACCTTCTCTCAGATGGTTGACAAAAATTAGAACCAATTCATAATGTCCCAGTGAGCATGGATCTTGGAGGTTGGTCAGTGATTTTAAACTTTTAAAAGAATTTAACAGTGGCACTCCTTTCCTCCCACCAAGTAAAACCTTACATCATCACGTTTGTTTTAAAATGTTTTTCTCAAAAAATCCAATTTTTCTCTTAAGACTTTATAGTAAGCAAATGGTAAACATGAGCTCATAAAAGTAAATGTATCATTAAAATGTCTAGGTATATCATATGTTTTCAATGTTAGGGTTCAGGTAAGATTTTGTTAAATATTCCAAGTATGCTAGGTACCACGTGGTGAACTGAACAGGTAATGTCCCTACCTCCAAGGAATTTACAGTATAGCATAGCCAGTCGATAAACATGTAAACAAAACCTTTCAGTAGAATGGGTGATAAACACTGTGGAGGAAACAACCAGGCCCTTTGTTAGGGATATTAGAGCAATCAGAAGAGAGGCAGGAGGGGGGTGGTTCTCTGCAGGGTGGCATTTAAGCTGGGATGCGGAGGAGGGTAAGGAGGAGCCATGTTACACAGGGGAGGGTGGAGGGATCAGCAGATAAGGCCCTGCGGTGGGCTAGTCCTGTTCGTGGACCTGAGGGCTGGGAGGGGCGTGAGGGGGGGCAGAGGCCGGATCACAGAGGACGTAGGCACCCTGATGAGGAATTTGGGTTTCAATCTGTGTGTAGTAAAAAACAAACAGATAAAAGTACTGAGTGGCCTTATAAAAGAGGGATAGTATCTGACTTGTAATTTTTAAAAAGTTGTCCTTGTGGCTGTGCAAAGAAGGGACTGAAGGAAAGTGAAGCGCGGGGTCTCATTGGAGGCCACAGCAATGATCTGGGTGAGAGAGAATGGTGCCTTAAACTAGGACAGGGCCAGTACAGATGGGTGGGAGGCAAGATATTTGAGGGACATTTTGAAGGTGATATTGTCAGAAATTTCCCAAGGTCTGGATGTGGGGGCTAGAGGAAGGGAAGAATGAAAGTCCACTGCGGGAAACTGGCTTGAGCAACTGCGTGTCATGGTGGTTCCACCTACTGATGTAGGTAAAACTGAGGGAGGAGCAGGTTAAAAGGAGAATGTTTAGAGTTTATATTTGGAGCCAGTATGCCTGCCATGCCCGACAGACACCTAATAGAGATACAAAATGGGCAGTCGGATAAGCAAGACAGGGTTTCGGAGGAGTGGTCCAAGTTGAAGATCTCAATTTAGGAGGCGTTAATGCGGATGGTACATGAAGCGCAGGAAATGGATCCCACTTTCTCAAGAGTGAGACAAGCAGGAGCAAAGAAGAGAGGCAAGACCGTACCCTGAGGAATTCCAGTTTTTAGAGAAGTGAAAGAGAACTGACCACTGAGGTAGGAAGGGAGCAGGGAAGTGCGGTGCAAAAGGAATCCAAGAGAGGAGAGATTTCAAGGAGGAAACAATGGTTAACAGAGGGCAAGTAAGACCAACCCAGAAAACCTTCCACTGGATTTAGCAAGTGGGAGGTTGCTGGAGATCAGCACCTTCAAAGGCAAATTTAAAACACTTCCATTTCATGATATAATTCCGTGTAACTGAATGGGACTGGCTCAAGATTATATAATTTAGTGACAATCAGCTTTGACTATAAGCTGAGCCAATGTAGTAGGTGGCTCCCTGGCAATAATCAGGGCTGGGGCTTCTGACCTGCTAGTTAGGACTGGTAGCTAATTAATTATTTTGTTGTCTAAACTGCTAAAGTGGCCAGAACCTGGGGTCGAGCATTGGACTTGCAAGTTGTAGGTTCCCTTCAGGTTTCATGCCCTTTGCCCAATACGCCACCCTATTTAAAGAGGTGGGTGGGAAGCATCCCAGCAGTCCACAGCCCTATGAGAGTAGGCGCTCAGTACATTTTGACAGCGATGGAGAGATGTGATGAGCAAGTGTGGGCTAGAGAAGGTTAGAGGTAAGAAACTAATGTGTGTGTGAAGCTTGTGCTTAGGGCTTTACGTACATGATTTCACGCCATGTCAAAAACAGTTTCACAAGTTTCTGTTATCCCTGGTTTTCAGCTATAAGAAAATTGAAGTTCAGAAAGTGGCAGAAACGGATTTAAATTAATATTTGTTGGACTCTAAACCCCTTTATGTTATATCAGTGTTTCTTCAAATGTGTTACATAGTCTTTCAGATGTTACCTGAAAAAATGACATGCATTCAAAAAATTGGGTAAATGCTGGGTTAAGTAAATTAAAACGCAGAACTTCTCAGAGCCTTTAATATGTCACTGGGGATTTTCAATCTCCAAAAGTAGTATGGTGTGTGCAATTTATCCAAATGTATTTGACCAGGGACCTTCTCTCTGCCTCCTCCATCTCAGGCGATCTCTCTGGAACTAGTACTCTGCAGAGCACACTTTGAGAAACCCTGTAATAGCTCTGTATTGACTTGTGTGATTCTACAGAGGAAGAAACTAAAAGCCAGGTGGTTAAATCAACTTGAATATCGTAGCACAGCAAGGTACAGGCAAACTAGGGACTAGAATCAAGGACACTGAATCCCAGTGCCCTCTAGTACATGTCTTATTGCTTGAGTAGATTTTCAGTACCTGGGACATGCTTTAAAACTATTTGCCAAGATTTCCTCCGCCACAGATTTATTAATGGTTCCTTAAGTAATTGAAAAATTGATACAATTCTTTTGGAGAGCTATTGGGCCATGCGTCGTAAGCTTTAAAATCACTTCTATCCTGCAAGTCAGCCATCCCCAGTCTACGTACCTTCAATAAATAACTTAGAATACAGAGAAACCGGGGGCTCAATGATAGTCCAGCTGTTTGATGTTAGGGGAATGGAATAGCCATAAGTAGTTTACATTCCTGCTGCAATATCAAGCGGAAAAGCAGGATCTAAAAATGCAATACTCAGTAAGACCTCAACTGTGTTATGAAAATAAAGAGTGAAAGGAAATATGAAAACATATTAGTGTTGGTAGGAACTGGGGCAATTTTTTCTTTCATTATCTTTTCTATGTTCTCTATAATCAGAATGCATTGCTTTTATAATCAGCAAAAAACAAACTACATTTAAAAATTCATTGGAATGATACATGAAGATGCCGGTCACAATGTTGATAATGGCTGGAAGGTTGGAGCCCTGTTATGATTTAACGAGTGGTCCTGTGCACCTTTCATACTCTTGCTTCAGTGATAGCATTACTGTGTGAGCCTCTGTCTAGACATCATGTCACAAAGCTTTTAAAACTACAGCAACACAGCACTGCTCTGTCTAGGCTTTTGCTTCCATCCATTAATATTGTTTCCTTCCATTTTGACATCATAATACAGTCTCTGTGGGCTTACAATGACATTATCTTGACAATTCTACAATGAGATGCAAAACTAACACTGGAGACATATTCTGCTCCCAAACCTCCTCTCCCATATCTTGACGATTAGAACCCTTGTCTTTCTCCATGGTTCTATGCTTCAAACTTTTATTATTAGGACAATCTATAGGCAAAATGACAGATGAACCAAACCTTGAACCATTTGAATGTCTAGATACCAGAATTATTTAATTAGATTCTAACTGAAAATTAGATTCAAATAAATCTCGAAACAATGCAACTCTATTTCCCATAAATTATTTCCCTCCTCTCCCCTCCCCTTCCCTTCCCTTTTTTATTCCTCCTTTCTTCCTTTCCTTCTTTCTCCCTTTCCTAAATATTTATTTACTGAGCACTTTACTTGGGTCTTGCACCATGATAGATGCTGGAACTTTAGTAGCAAATATACGAACAGCACTTGCCTTCATAAAGCTTACAATCTGGTGGAGAAGAGAGAGATTATACAAGTATTACAAGTGTGACAATTAAGGGTGGAGAAGATGAGCAGAGCTTGACCAAATCATATGAAAGGAGGTATCTAAACATCCTGGGTGGTGAGCAAGGTCTCCCTAAGGAACCGATGTTTATGATGAGATTGAAATAAATCTAAGAGTTAACCAAGTAAAGAGATAGATGGTTGGAATCAGTCAGGATTGGCTTCTACAGGCAGGTGTGGTCAAGGGAAATGTGGGGTCCAAGAATTTAGGATATAATTAAGATTTTAAAATTATAAACCATGGAATCAAAACTAGTTGTAGAGGGAAATAAAAACAGGAGGGGGTCTTTTCCTCAGACATGAGGAAAAGAAGCCACTGAGAGGGCAGAGTGTTGGACGGCTCATTGATCGGGACGAAGAGGTCTTCCAGAGCCATGAAACATATTGGAATATAGATGAATATTGTGAGCTGAGCACTGGTTTTCTTTGAAGGGCTAGTAAGGGTGGTGTTGTATGTATACTAACATCACTTTATAGATAAGTTTCTCTCACAGTGTGGTCTATAGACCCCAGGGAGTCCCTAAGATCTTTTTGGGAGAGGGTGTCCTATGAGTTCAAAATAATTTCACAGTAATACTAAGACATTTGCCCTTTTCATTGTGTTTATATTTGCACTGGTGGTGCAAAAGTAATGACAGGTAAAATTACTGGGGCCTTGGTACAAATCAAAGGAGTAAGACCAAACTCACAGGAGATTAAGTTTTATTTAAGAAAGTCCCTTTTGAAACAGTAAAAATTATTAATTTTGTTAAGCCTCAATCTTTGAACGCATGCTATTTAAATATCCTATGTGCCAAAGTGGAAAGAGTGCATGAAGAACTCTCACTGCACTGAAGTCCGATGGTTATCTTGTGAAAAAGCAGTCATTTGAGTTGTAAGTAAAAGTAGCCACCTTTTTCCTGGAACATTGTTTTTATTCAACAGGATAACTGTCAAACTAGTTATTCAGGCTTAGATATTTGGCAGACAGATTTTTCTCAAAAATGAAGAGAGCCTATCATCACTTCAAGGAAACAAACAACATCATTGTTACCAATGACAAAATTCGAGCTTTCAAGCAAAAATTAAAATTTTGGAAAAACATATCTACTACTATGAGCTCGATATGAGCAATCTTAATACATTTGGCTTTTCATATTATATAATCATGTGTGAATATTTTTAAATGTGCATAATCAGTGAACCATTATTTTTCAAATTTCCAATGCCTAATGTTACAAAAATCATGTATGGGTATCGGATCCATTTAAAGTGTACATGGAACACCCTGGTCGGGTAGCTCAGTTGGTTGGAGCATCATCCCACTGCATCAAGGTCGCAGGTTTCATCCTCTGTTGGGGCACATACAAGAATCAACCAATGAATGCAGGAATACATGGAATGTCAAATAGGTCTCTCTCTCTCTCTCTCTCATCAGCAAATAAAATATATATATATCTTAAAGAAAAATGTACATATACCAATGGATTTTAATGTAATAGGGTACAAAAAATTCATTGGTATGCTTTCAGATTCCAAATTGCAACTAACATTTAAGGAATTACTCCCTTGTCAAGTTTTGGTGTAGTATCAAAGAAGAACATTCACAGTTATCTGAAGAGATTTATTAAAACCCTCCTCAATTGCATAACTTTTTCAGTCACGTGAATGTACGAGGCTGGATGTTTTTCATAGAATTCAACCAAAGCAACATAAAGCAACAGATTGAATGAAGAAGCAGAAATGAGAATCTAACTGCTTTCTACTGACCAGACATTAGAGATATTTGCAGTGGGATGACCAGGCTCTGAAGCTACAGGAGAGGTGGTGATGCTACGAAAGAAGCTCAGGCTTGGAGCCAGGCAAGCGTCACGAGGAACAGAAAATGGGTTTTGCCATCAAGCCAACTAGTTCAAATTCTACCTCTGTCACCCTTGGGCTATGACCTCAGGGGTTACTTAGCTTTTAGGAATCTTGACTTTCTTATATGCAAAATAGGGCTGATAATAGTTACCTCCTAGGATCACTATAGAGATTAAATGAGATAATCCAGGTAATGTTCTAGTGTGTAATAATAAAAGCCAACCTTTAATAAACACTTCATAAGCATTTTAATGTGCTTTCAATAACCTTATTAGGTAATATTATTTTTAACATAGTTCTACAGTTGTGAGAGCTGTAGCTCAGAGAAGTTCAAGAACTTGCTCAAATTTTCAAAGTCAGCGGGTGGCTAAGATTCAAACTCAGTCTCCTCACCCCAGATCCCATGTTCTTAACCACTGGGCCTTTTGCTACTCTGACTCTTCAAAATTGTTAGCCCCCCTCAGTACTCGTCTCTCTAAAAATAAGATTCATATAGAATTAAAAGAGAGATTTTATATAAATCCTCTAGCATCAAACTACATGCAATAGAGCACAATAAAATTTTCATTCTTCATTTCTTAAAAGTGTGATTGACTAGAAGAAAACATGCACAGCTATTTCCTTTGCTTAGACTTTTCATCTCAAAATTGATGCAGGGAGATGAAAAGAGTTCTGGAGATGGATGGTGGTGAGGGTGGCAGAAAAATGGGAATGTAATTAATGGCACTGAACTGTACACTTAAAAATGGTTAAGATAGTAAATTTTATATTATGTGTATTTTACCGCAATAAAATAAATTGCAAAAAAAGAAATGGCAATAGGCCATATATAGTTTGTTTTAAAAACAGCACATGTAATTCTTCTTTTAAAAAATAGGTTTAATTTTTATTGTTGAAAGTACTACAGATGTCTCTCATTTTTCCTCCACCGTTGGCCTCCACGCTACCCCCTTTCCCACCCCCACCCCAGGCCTTCCCCACACTATCGTTTGTCTATGGGCTACGCATATATGCATATAAGTTCTTAGATTAGTCTCTTCCGCCCCTCCCCTCCTTCCCTCTGAGATATGTCTGTCTGTTGCATGTTTCAGTGTCTCTGGATCTGTTTTGTTCACCAGTTTATTTTGCACATGTAATTCTTTTTTTTTTTTTTTAA